TCACCCCCTTCGAGACCCAACGGAAAGGATGGACGGTCCTGATTGGACAACAAGCCACCAAGATCATCTTCAACCCATCCGCATCCCTCCCTCGTATCGCGACGGGTATACAGTTCGGTACGTCCAACGGAGCGAGGTACACTGCACGCGCTCGAAAACAGGTCATCGTTGCTGCGGGTGCTATCGGATCTCCTGCTTTCCTCCAGCTTTCCGGTATAGGCGATCCGGCCACGTTATCGCAATTTGGGATCAAATCTGTCGTGAACCTTCCTACTGTTGGGAAGAATTTACAGGAGCAGAGTCTAACTGCTCAAGGTGCCAGGGGAACGAATTTAACGTGGGAGGTAGTGGACCATCGGACGTCATTGCTTTCCCTAATATTTATCAAGTAAGTAATCAGTACATAGAATTGGAATGCGGCACCACTCACATTTCTCTTCTTCCAGTTATTCGGGAGCAGTGCTCAGACGATGGTTACGCATATCAAATCGTCCCTGTCCGCTTGGGCTTCCTCTCAAGCTAGCAATGCTCTTTCTGCGTCTGCTTTGCAGAAGATCTACCAAATTCAGGCTAACCTTATCATCAACAACAACGGTACGATTTTTGAACATCACGTTACTGTAAAAAAAATTGATCCCACGATGTTTACTCAACAGCACCTGTTGCTGAGATTTTCTCCGATACTGGATATCCTGATAAAGTTGGAACCGTAAACTGGCCATTGCTTCCCTTCTCCCGTGGTAACGTCAGGATTACGGTGCGTCGTCATCTTGCACGCATAGTGTTTTTTGACGTGCGTGAACGTACAAAGTCAAACAATCCTTTCGTGAAGCCACAGACGACCGTCAATTGGTTCGCCATCGACTTTGACTTGAGCGTCCAAGTTGCCATCGGTCGCTTCGTTCGTCGACTCTTCCAAACTCTCCCTCTCAGGTTTGTTTTGCGTTCTTATAGTTTAAATAACCCGAGACTAACGTAATTCACGGACAGCGGGTGGACGCAAGGCGAATCTTCACCTGGTTTGCCGTCGTACCCGATGATGCCCAGCATGGGTCGGATGCGGCGTGGTCGAGTGGATTAAGAAGACGTTCGTGCCTGTGAGCCATCCTATCGCCACATGTGCCATGATGGATCGAGCGTTGGGAGGTACGTGAATGGGCACGACTTTACCTCATCGACCTAAAACGGAAAATAATGCTTTTTTTTTTTTTTTTTTTTCTCAGGTGTTGTCGATGGTCATTTATTGGTGTATGATACGAAGAACGTTCGTGTCGTTGATGCATCGGTCCTTCCTCTTCAAGTGAGCGCACATTTGTCGAGTACGATATATGGAATTGCGGAGAAAGCTGCGGATATCATCAAAGCTGCCCATGATCGCCAACTGTCTGACCAGATGTTTATTCTTTTTTTCTCCCACTCTTCTTTTCCCTTTTTGGTTGGGGGGGACAATTTTTCGTTTTCGTCTTTTCATTACATTTGCTGCACATATTTTTTTCTCCGAGGGCATCTTTTCGCTACCTTACGAACGTTTCTTGCTCAAGTTGCATCGCTTGCATGATCAATTCAATTTTGGACTTTTGGAAATGTAAATGTTATATTCATGCGGTTGAACATGCATCGAGAATGTGATACTGCTCGTGGTTCTGCAGACGTGACGCGATAAAAGCCATGAAGTAGCTGTGATTTCATCGCTGTCCCTTTAATTTGTAGTGGGGGGTACCAGCCTCTGCGATGCGACTACATGTAGCTTACAATGTGGATCGCGGGGTCAAAGCTCCATAGCGCAAATCAAGTGGACAACACGAAGACCAACCCAATCCAACCCCCCAGGAACCGGGCCGCGCACATTGACCCAAAAACGAACAGATATCGGGAATATACATACCTGTTGCTGTTGCCCTTGCCCGGCGCCGCCCGCGCCCGTTCTCGGTCGATTGTTCCTCATGCACTCATGTTCCGTTCGACCTTTACCTTTTTTTGATCCAGTCCCCACAACCAGGGCTTTATCACATTCACATCCTCCTTCATCGGCTACCACTCAATTCTCCAATTGGATCCTTTTACTCCCATGAGGTTATATGTACTGGTGATGGTTGGGGGGTTGTTGCTGATGAATCCAGTATATTCGTGTATAATGTCATCGCTTTTTTTTTTGCCGATCGAGCAGATGTGATGTTGGAACGTGCTCGCAAAGGGGACATACATCACCCAGCCGATGGGAGCGGGTTCTGCGGTACTTTATAAGTGTTACGGAGCTGAACATGGAGTGGTCGACCCTGAGTCACTGCACTGCGGGAGGTCCGGTGAGAAAAGAGATGATCTTTTTCCCCATCGTCAACTGAGTCGTTGAAGTTTAGTTCAGTAGATAATGACTCCCATGCAAAGAGCCTCGCCTCGATGATTCTGCAAATCCAGCTTCTAGAATTCAATAGCCACAGTTAATCATGACTACTCTCGAGCAAGGTAGATTTCTATCGATAACCCCCAGCAGTCGGTTGTATCGAATTCTGACTTTCACATTTCTTCGTCAAAATTGCAAACCTCCTCATGTTCCGCCACCAAAAGGAATGGTTTTCGAATGAGGTGGATCGGAGACTCGGGCAATGCTGTGCACATTCCCGAACAACGTTCCGCAAAAATTACGGTCCAACGGGGGGAGGGGGGCGCGACGTCGCGATTCCCCTGTGAAAGCTCTCTAAAAAAAAATTGAACGAGATTGAAAGGGACGCCTCAGATGTGAATCTGATGCTCCCCAGAGACTACAGTCCTTGAAGCGTACCGGGGAACCAACGCTCATCGGGGAGAAGGAATCCGAAGTTAGAGTTCCATAAGTCGAAGACATGGCAGATCATCGTTGGTGAACTCTTGTCCATGTAGTAGACAAGAGTCATCTAGAGTACTCCGATTTGCGAACCGGATGCGCCCCCCCCCCCAGGAAAATCTCCAATGTTCCATTGAATCGCCAGAGAACGCACATGAAATCAACTTAATGCTCGGAGACGCCAGTAGCAACTGACAATGCCTAGATAACAGACGATGGAACCCACTTATACCCCAGTCTTTAACCCAATTCTGAGACCGTGCAGACAATCCCGTAACATTTCCACAGTATATAGCTGATTCCCGACATAAAGGAATCTTCAGTTCTCCCGGGAGACGCTGAGCAAGGGGTATCTTCCAAAAAGCTCAGGACATACGATTCAAGGAGGTTCTACGTAGGGTGCCTAATCATTTGGTGATGAACGAGACCCTCGGCGGACGAAAAGACGGACTGGACTGGCTTTAACGAGCGGCTCTCCGCAAGCAGGGTCACACGAGGTGTGCGCTCGGCTTTGACTCCTGACTCTTGACGGCCGTTCCACGCCGAGAATATTTTCTCGAGGCTGCAAGGTTGCCACACTAGCACAGTTGGCACTAAGTAGAGGAGACAACAGTACTAGACTCGCCCCGCATCCGCGCAGTTCGAGTCCCAGTCGGACGCATCATATGTAATCGGCTTTGGCTCAAAGATACAAATCAGCGTCTCAACACTGAAGCTCAAAAAGAACGCGCACAATGCATGAAGGGAGAACGTCCCTATCCTCGTCGGACCCTTTTCTTAACTTTTTGCTATACGACTTTGAGGCGATGTAAAAAGTTGGAAAGCCCGGCCCGAGCAATCCTTCCTTGATTGAATAGCGCGTTCAATCGGCTGCTTCATACAGCAAATTAGCGCCTCCAAGAATGTTTTAAATGCAAACCCGAGTCAGGACCTGCGAAGTGTTGCACGACCATGTTCCGCAGACTGATGGGTCGAGATAGCGTCCAAGCTAGCCGGCTTTCCTGGCCGAATACAGAATCTTCGCGCAGAGTGAATGTCTATTGTTCCCTTCCTAATGGGTCTCACTAGCATATCCCTAATGGGTCTTAGCATATCGCGGGGATCAGCAACCGCCTATCGACCTATAAGACGTTCTTCTTCCCATTTCCTCCATCAGGATATCCGTTCTCTATCTTCGCGGAGCCTGGATGACTACCGCAGTTTTCTGGGCGATAATTGTCCCCTATCTAGTGTATCGAGCGGCATGGATGGTCCTTCGAAGCTACTTCGTTAACACGACGACCGTGCTGAATGACCTTGAACTACTAAGGAAGACCCCCAGCGCTCAGAAGGTCCCGGGGACCGCTGTGATTGCTGGAGGCAGGTGAGCAATTATTCACCGCGACGCTTGCCCTCTGCAAACGCGTATAACTGAGAGATCGGTTCCTAGCCTAGCGGGATATATCTCGGCGCGAATTTTGGTAGATTACTTTGAGAAGATAGTTATCATTGAGCCTGAAGTTGATATCACGCTTCATGGCCGCGCTTCACAACGCGCTCATTTCCATGGCTTTCTGTCAACATCATTGATCATTCTTCGCGGACTATTCTCAAATTTTGATGAGGAGGCTGCTAAGCACGAAGTGTATCTACTTCCCCCGTTCAGGCACTGGTGGATGGGAAATTCATACCTTGGTGACTTGGAAGCGAAGAGGTTACACCACGTTGCTGGCTCGCGATTTTCGTGAGTGCTGTCACTCCTTCGCGTAAATTGAACCGATACCCACCTCATCCAGTATGGAGAACCTTTGCCGCCACCTCTCAATTGCATATTGTGGTGAAAACCTCCAGGTCATACAAGGAGTTGTCATTGATGCGGAAGCTTCATCCGACGAGAAGACAGTTTGCTCGGTTTCTTTCCGTCGTACTTCGGATGATCCACAAACAATTTCAACTATACCATGCGCACTGCTTGCAGATTGCTCTGGTTCCTCCTCCATTGGCATGAAACTATTGCCTGCAGCTTCCGGGGCATGGGGCCCCTTCAAGCGTGCGTCATACAATCCCAAAGCTAAATACTACAGTACCACTTTTCGGCTGTCTCCTGAAACTCAAGAAAGCGTATCAAGATCGCTTCCTAAACGCCATCCGGACTTTGGAGAATGGGAACATTGTGGTATCGTGGGATTAGTTTCCCCCATGATCGAGAAGGTTGGACGAGAGTTATTTGGATACCAGAGAATCGATGGGGATCGACGTGAGTAATTACTTCTTCCCCGATTCAGATTTTTTTCAGACGAGTCGTTTTTCCGCGATCAGTACTCCTCCTGTACGGTGGATGGGATGTCGAGACGTGCCCTCGGACGATAGCTCAATACGTCGAATTAGCTTGGCAGTCGTATGCCAAAGCGTTCCCTAAGGAGTGTCATAGTAGAGACGAATGGTTTTTCAACACCCTCCAGGTCGCTGGTAAAGGTGAAAATCTGCTGGACGAACCTCTTAAATGGGACCACTACAATCTAGTATGAACATTTAGTCAACTTATGTTTCACTGATGGGCGGAGTTAATCAACAGAACAGCTGTTCTTGGAACGATTACGCTCTTAAATCGATCCCGAACAACTTTATTGCGGTCGGCGATTCCCTAATGCGTGAGATCCTTTTCCTATGTGTTTGTATTCTGTCTGTGATATGTGGGTTTTCCGTAGGTGTGAATCCGTTCTTTGGACAAGGCGTTACCAAACTTCTCTGCAATGCCACTATTCTAAATTCCACGTTGTATAAAATGCTAGGAAAGTCCACCGTGCCTCGGGCTGAGCTGCCATCGGGCTTCTCCCATACTTATTTCAAGCGTGTTCTTCCCATCGACAAGGGCATGTTTGATACGACCCGTATGTTAGATTATGGTTACAAGACGACCGTTCCGTCGGCGGGGGACACGTTGGAGTTTGGTGCTGGATTCAGGAAATATTGGGCAGCTCTTGTGAACTTTGTGGTCCACGTGAGTATTTGTTTCTTGGACGGTAGCAGGAATATGGTGAATGCCTATGTTCAATCCTTGATAGGATGCTAAGGCCTTTGTAATATTGGACGATGTGTTATGCGGATATCGACCCGCGATAGACTTGATGAGCCCATCCTTAATTCTCAAGTCGCTATTTTGGATGTGGTGGTCACCTCCAAAGTCTGTCGAAGAATGATACGGTTGTCCTTTGGGCCTGAAGCCTCGTCAGAAACTATTCCTTCTGTATTTTTCATTTCTCTTTCGCAGATCTGCGTCATGAGGCTAGTAATATTTGTAAAAATTAGCAATGCTGTGAAGCTTTGAATTTCGGGATGTCCGGGCGGCCAATTGAAATGTGCCTTTGTCCATTTCGAGTTCGTTAATGGACTGATTGTAATACCTGGCCTTTTGCGGCCCAATCGGAGCCCTCGATATCAGAGCCCCTTATGTTGGCGCAAAACAACGCGCCGCGATCACACATCACTAGCGTTGTCATTAATTTGCAAGTACAAAGGCGGTTTGAGGGACCCCCCAACTGTCAGGCCCCAACGCCCATCGAATTCGGAAGGGAAATTGTATGAGTGATGGTTACAGAACTGCAGAATATAGGCGTTAAATCAAGGAATCTATTTGAATTGCATTTCTGGGATTTGGGGCACGCATACTGGGCCTTATTGAGAGCAACGACGTTCCAAGCAGGTCACATCGACAGGAGAACGAGTCTGCCTGAACTAGCACCTGCAAATGACTTCATTTTATACCAGTCAATATCAGGCGGATTAGTACTCTGATCGTAGACCACTTACTTCAATGAGTATGATTCGTTCATCATCACAAATAATCACATCCTCGAGGTCCCCACGAAGTGGAAACCCAACGTCACGGTGAACCCGGGAGTATGGAAGACTACTCATGACGGTATCATCTTGAAATAGCTCCGGACAACTGATTACTGTAGGTGAGCTGCGATCGACGATAATCTGTGAACCACCCTGCACAAGACCCTCGCTGCTGCGTCGACGGCCTAAGTTGTCGTCCCAAGTCCATCTCCCTGGACTAAAATCGAGGACAGAAATAATGGATGGCATATTTCTGTATCTCCGAACGAATCTATTTCCCGAAAAGAAGCGTTTCTGTCTGAGTGAAAGTGCATTGTTTGCATTCGCCTGCAGTCGAGTGTTCATTGGTCCCCAATGGTGCCAGGGTATTGGCATCGCATGCCCCGCATATTCGTATGCCAAGTGAAGAAGCGTCCCTGAGTGCATGAATATGTCAAAGTTTCGAGCGATAGGACCGGAACTGCTGGAATCGTCACTATCAGAAGAGGCCTCCCCTTCTGTTGTCCAAAGTATTTGGATCAAGCTGGACCGGGAGGAGGGGAAAAAAGGTTTGCTGCGCATGTCTGGGCTACGAGAAGGTTGAATGACGATGCCACTTAAGATATCGGCATGAAGTTGTGGCAGCAGAAACGTGGCCATCGGTCGAAGTCCTCTTGTGTTACTATGGATTCCACACAGACGCAGTCCCACCTGATACTCTTGTGCACCATCGTCCCACGGGAGGTAGCAGGCTGTCAGTAATGTGGAAGGTGTAACAAAGCAGAAGGAAGCCATGGGGGCGTCCAATGCAGCGTGCTATACCTGGGGCTCAGTCTAAAAATGATCTGCGATGAGAAGGGAACTGACCGCCTCTATCATTCCAGAGCGCCATGACCAGATAGTCAGCCACGAGCCCGCCCCATGTTGGCATAACAATCCAAGCTTGTCGCCAAATATCCTTAACTGGTATTGAGCCCTGAACACTGGGAACGCCGTCTCCAATAATGATATGGTTGAGTAAGAGTTTAGGCTGTTGGATTCCAAAGACCGAATATGGAGACGGCCCCGGTAGGGATGGTCAGATCCTGGAGCGCTATAATCAACGCCATCATAACGGTGCCTTCAGTGGACCATCAGGACAAAAAAATACTCTCTTTCATCGTTTCGACTTACAACTCAAAGTACACAATCAAGTCAGCGTTAGGGTCGGTAGTGAAGGCTTCAACGGGGAATTCTGTCCATAAGACCTTGCTGCGGCACTGGTCATTACGAGACAAAGAAGGGAGTTGGCAAGTCCACAGGCTGTTTGGGCCCGTCGAAATGGTCAAGACTCCGCTCGCGAAATCCCAGTTGCCTCTGATGGAGGGAATAGGGAAATGGGACTCGGACCAATCGAGCCTGTTCCATCGGTTGATGTGTGAACGTAGGTGCTCAAGGATTGGTGCGATCCCTGTGCGTGCCAGAGCTCTTGGATCAGCAGAACGTTCATACGAAGCTCGATACAGTGCAATGTGATACTGCAGCTGGCCCGAGTTTTCAATGAGGTTCCGAAGGTGTTGACATGTCTAGCAACAGATGATTATTGTCTCGTATGTCGTTTGTACGAAGCGAGTGCACCAAACCTCACAGCATCGAAGGAGCGAGACACAGTCAAGATGAGATAGTATTTCCAAAAGGACCTCTGGCGCCAGTTGCAACAAAGTAGCTTGCGCCATGTCAGTCATTCTTACAACTGGCACGGAAGATGGGATACCAAACTTTGGCAGCTGCCATGCTTATAACACAGTATAGGGGCCTCCACGAGGCAAGTGATCCGTGATTATTCTGTCATGCATCGGACCAGAGTTTGGGTCAGCTTAATTCGAGACGGTCAGGTCATGATCACAAAAATCTGTGCTGAATTGATTCACAGTTGACCAGATCTGGGTCCTTTTGTCATTCTACACAGTAGCAGTACCAGCCACCATAGCGAGAATCTTTCCAATAGCCCTCCTAAAGGGATAGGATCGTGTCAATACTTTTGGTTTGGGCCACATCAATAATTGTGCCCAAAGAGGTTAACATTGCGCGCTCGATGACGGACTTCAGCGGCACGAATATCGCCTAAAGTGGTGGGGAAGAAACTAGAATGACTGTGTTAAGTGGGTATGCCTTTTTCTAACTATCCAAAGCCAGCACAAAGGCGTGGTTGGCATGACACTTGGAGTACGGGAATCAGGAGCAGAAACTTATTTTCAACGAGTCGTGCGACCAAACAAGGGCGCGTATGATTGGGGCAAGAGATGATAGGCGAGAAAGGGGTTGATCCAAGACCGCTGGGTTCTTGATGATCACGATAAGTCAGGGCAGACCCGAGCATCAATTGTTCAGAACCAGCGGGAGATATGTGCCTCTATGCTTTGACGACCACATCTTTAGGTTCCGTCTTGTCCGCAGACTCGCCGGCAAACGTGGGGAATCTATGCAGGCCAATCAATCACAGATAACATGTAGATACCAGCGTCCTACCTGGGTACGCCATCACGAGTCAATTCCTGGAAGCGATACACAATGATAGAACCAATCGATGGCGGATTGGCTCGTTGCTTGTCAGACAATCCAGACCCCACGCTGAATTTCTATTCGGGGTAGGGTCAGCGGGGCCGCTTTCATGAAAAAATGGAAAAAAAAAAATGGTCACCTTCCCAGAGGCCATCTCACACAGCAATGCGCCAGTTTTGCCGGCATGCTTACCCTTACCCTTTGTGTAACCTATCACCCTTGCCTCCGCGTCGTAAAAGGTCTGATGCCAAATTAGACTCGATCCTAAAGAGGAGAAGTAAAAAAATGCTCAACATGCCTTGACCTTGAGCAACGTGTTGGATCGCGTTCCCACGTATAATGACCCGGGTTCACGCAACATGAGCCCCTCTCCACCACGAGATTCCACCTCTACTCCGCGAAAAGCGAAAATGGTTATCCCTCATTTTTTCCCTCTATCTCTCTCCACATTAGCTCACCTTTCAGCATTTCCAACACATGGTCTCGATCCCTTACGATCGTCTGTTGCTCAACGATGACGTGGTCGACTTTAGATTTCCCAGTAAATCTTGCCCCCTCTTCGGATGTATCGGAACCATCCAGGAACGTTTTGCTCAGTATGCTCATACGTTGCTCAAAAGGCTCGTTCCCCGCACTAGGGACATCGAAGATATGGTATTTGACCTCCTTCCAAGATGGTGAGTTCGCCGCTCTAACAATCGACACAACGTCCTGGAAGTTGCGTCGCCCAGCAAAGAGCTATACACAATACAGTGCCATCAGCCATGAATATGTGAGAGCACTGTGGTGACTAACCTCCCCATCCAAGGTTATATTCTTTGGCAGCTCTACCGTAAATGCGTGAAAATGAGTTGGGATACGGCTGGAAATGCCAAACAAACCATCCAAGAACCATTGCGGTGCTGCAAATGGATTTCCAAGTCGGCTGATAAGACGCTTTCCATCATAGTAAGCTCGGACTCCGTCAAGCTTCTCACTCGCCCACCTATCCATCCCTAGTAAATTATGGTAGTACATGACCCTATGCAGTCTCACTTACCACCCAGCCGGATCCTGTCCATCAAGATCCCATCTGCACAGTCTCCATGTCAGTGCAAGCTACCTATATCCATTTTCTAGCTCTGAACTTACTTGACCGCAAGAAGCAGGTCTGGTTTCTTCTTCGCTGAATCGTCCTCATCGTCCTCATCGTCTTCATCGTTGGCGTCCTCCTCGCCTATCGCCTCACTTTCCCTTTCATTGGGACCCTTTGACCTCTTTCTCGAAGGCTGGTCACCTTCGCCCGAGGCATCTTCCTGGTCATTTTTCCGCTTCTTTGAAGTTGACGCCTTAGCAGCTTTCGAAGTTGCCGCTTTACCACCTTTCTTAGCAGTGCCTTTTGACTTCGAAGCCCCAGGATTTTTCCATTCCACTCGAGCATTTTCGTATTCCTCACCGAGCAAAGATTTTAAGTGTTTACATGACCTAGCGTCGATCTACGTTGACACGCTGGGTATATGTGAATAAGACACGGAAACCAATTGGACTCACTGGTGATGAACTCTAACACACGAGTGGACGAGTAAATCCCAGAAAAATACATAAATGGCGTAAATCTACCTGCATTCGCCAAGCCTAAATTAAAGCCCACATGAGCAGAGGGAGGAGGGTCGAGTAAGTGACCTCTTACTGGACATGTGCAGTAATAATGGTCTCCCGTCCTCTTAACCTTGTACTTGCTTGAACTTAAGAACCCCAGTCAGCCTCCGCCTCATTGTTCACATCAAGTGTGTAAGGATTAGAGAACTTGCCTCGTTTGGCTGCTCACTTCTCTCTCCTCTCCGTCTGCCAATAGGACCTTCGGTTTTTTCCCCTGAATATCCGCCAGACTGTCGGACATTGCACTTCACCGATCCCGGAATATACTATTGTATGTGGTTTAGACGCAGTAAGGGACGGATAGCGTGTAGAGGCGAGCAGTTGCAACTTGTTGAAGTTCGCGCACGTGGAATGCTCGGCACCGAGTTACCATAACGGCGGCCACGCGGAATGCCTCTTTGCTCGAAACACGTAGCCCTTGCTGAAAATTTACTTTATTTATGCAAACTAGACCCATCATACGCGAGCCAGAGGCCTCTAATATATTCATGAAGGCCTCTGCTACCTGTTCGTTCAACCTGCCTTTGTAATGCCAACCCAGCACTGCATGAGGGTAGGCAGGACTCCAGCCTCTATGACAAATCTGTAGAGCATGATGGCTCCTACTCATCTGCCACCTAGGCATACTGCAGTAGTCCGCGCGACCTCGAGGTCTACCAGCTGTGCGCCGACCACAGCTGCTCAATTTGGCGTTCCAGAGCCATAGGGATTTCATTCATACAGTACATTTCCAAGAATCTTGTTATGGTCTTTTAGAAAGCTCTCTTTTGATGACAAGGCGTTGGTCGATAATTATACGGCCTTGCGAGCCCTTGTCACCCTCTATCTCAATCCGCTTGAGGGCATGCAACCGCTACCCAGCAGCTCTCCCGGCCAGAATTCCACCCGAGCCCTCACTTGTGGTCCCGTTAATTAGGCTTCAATACATCTTTACTTCAAGATTGTACAGCATTTGCGGACTGGCACAGAAACGTACTTTGTCATGAAATACGATTTTCCATCCATCACTATGCTTGAGGCTGGTGGGCGTGACTAGGTGCTTTTTTGGCTGCGGTCAGTTTCGCTCCAGGCCCTGGAGGACAAGAGCTGGAATCCTGCCTGTCGGAGGACCCGTCCGATAGAATGCGTGCATGTCGGAGACGTGATTCATAAAATTATTCGCGTGGGGCAGGTCGAAGTAGATCGAACAAGAAGGGCAAACTGCAAAATTATGATGGATGAACATGTGCATGCAACCAGGAAGAGAGTTTATTTAGATAACTCCCTTTATTCCTACTGGCCTTCGGCATCCCTCGGCACCGGCCACACCAGCGAAAATAAAGGAACGAGACACTGTGTGATTTTGGGAGACCTGCATAACAATACACACCACACTTGATTCGGGAGTCCAATGCTGGTGGATTGGTTGTATCTATTGATCGAGCCTGCGGGTGGTGGCTTGGTGCGCATTTCGTCCGTTAGACGCTACATTTCTGTGAATAATGGTGGTATTACTATATCGACAAACATTCGAACCTCTCCCGAAGCCATCTCGCATCGAAGAGATCCAGTTTTATGCGCATTGCGGCCGTGCCTTCGGTATGGCCTTCACTTTTACTTCTGCCTCGTCCCAGCCCCTTTCCCGGGGCTGCTCTCTCTTTCCCAGCCCTACCCGGTCTTGCGCACTCTACTCTCTTAACAGCTTGACAGGTCTCCCGGACTCCCTCCCATTTGTAACTTTTTGGTTCCCGTCATCCACTTTTGCTGGCCGGGAATTTGGTTTTCCGGCTTTTTCTAGCTTAGGAATTTTAACGACGACACGGGTCATTCCGTAATCCTCTGCAAGTAAGTGCATGAGGTGTTTGCATGAGCGTGCATAATTCTGGTGATTCAGTCATCGGTTCAACTTCCAATCCTGAGAATCATGGTAAGACGTACTGACGCTTCACGAACCTGCGTTCTCCAAACCTGTGAGGTCTAAAACTCAGCAGACTGGCACTATTTTAGCACTTCTGTGCAGTAGCACTTGCCACGCAGCGGCACCAATCCAATAACAGCCGTTGCTCCTCCCTACAGTTGCGGCTTCGCCTTGGTTGACTACAATGTTGTGAACACGTGTGAGATGGTAATGACCGTATGGGAAGTCATTTGGGTATCATGGCGCTTCCCCTCCATCCTTCAACAGTACCTTTGGCTTTTTCCCTTCGATTCCTGCGAGCTATCGACAGTCATTTATGTCTGGTGCACTGATGGCCTGAGCTCTGAGGGCATTGGGTTCACCCGTGACCATATGTGGGGCTTTTGCTTGCGCGAGGTTGGCTTGTATGGCTTACCTCAGCTGCAGTTGTACCCTTGCTTACGTAATACAGTGGCGGCTGGCTTGGCGGAGACAACAAGACAAAGGAACTCACTCAAGAAGTGGTCCAACCCCCCATGATAAAGTCTACTGTGCATCCTTTCTGGTCTCTTGCCTTGACCGGCGCCACTTTCAGACTCCCTGTTCAACTGCAACGATCTTTTCTCCGTCACCTCTTGGCTTACATAATGTAATGTGAGTGCTTGGCGGGGACGACAAAGAATCAGATAAAAGGGACTCATGAGCATGGACCAGTGCTCCTCACGACCAACGTTTCCACACTCTTTTCTGCTCTTTCGCCTTGTCTGGCGACATTCTTGCTACCTGCAACATACACTCCCTATTCTTTGCAACCACTTTCACTTTTGTCATCGATCTCCTTTACTTGCAAACATCGCTTTGCACAATGAAGCCTTCGCTTTTCAATATTCTTCTCGTATTTTCTTTATTTTCCTCCGCGCTTGGTCACGGATACGTCGAGTGTACGTCAAGCCATTCGGCCGAGCTTGCTGGGCGTTTGTTATTGCCGTTCTGGGGCTAATTACATCTCGTTTCAACAGCGATCACCGTGGGTGGCAAGACCTACCCTGGAAATCGCCCCTACGGGAAGGGCACGACAAATACGCCCATCAGGCAGGTAAGCATAACATTTGCTTTCATTCACCATCCTGACACCTAGATATTAAATCATTATCCCAACAGATTACGACCGTTAACCCCATCACTGATGTTGCCTCACCTTCCATGACGTGTGGGATCGGTGCCAAGATTAACACTGCATTTCTTACCGTCCATGTCACTGCTGGATCGGACATCACCTTCCATTGGGTAAGCGGCCAAGGAAAATGGGGTCACAAAACGGGTCCGATCTTGACCTACCTCGCCAAGTGCGACGGCGATTGCAAGTCTTTTGATCCTAGCAAAGCTACATTTTACAAGATCTCCCAAACTGGCCGGAAACCCAATAGCATGGTGTGGTACCAGGAGGACATCGAAAATGGTGCAAGTTACACCACGAAGATCCCTAAAGGGATCCCAAATGGGAATTATATCATTCGCAATGAGATTGTAGCGCTACACTTTGCGAATAGGAGGGACGGCGCGCAGTTCTATCCTTCCTGCTCTCAGATCCGCATCACGGGCGGGAGTGACGCCCCTAATTTGGTGGATGTCACCTCTACCAAAGGTGCCCAGTTTCCTGGCGGCTATGAGCGGAACGGACCTGGGATTTACGTCCCAGATGTCTATAGAAGCAAGAGCTATACATTCCCCGGACCCCCTGTTATCACCTTCGATAAAACAGCAAGGAACAGGAACCCTAGTTCTTCATCTACTTCGAGCCCCAGTAAACCCACCAGCAGTATTAAACGTGTTAGCTCCAAACCTGTCCTCATTGTCACTACTACGACATCTTCCCTCAAGCCATCTTCGACACCACCAAAACACTGTATTCGGAGGTCGTCCAAATTGACCTCCGCAGATCGTCCCGCGAAGCGCCTGGCTAGCCCAGAACAGAAAGGGAACCTCAGTGTCATGCAAGAGCGCGCAGTTGGCCTCTAGATGCATCGAAGAACGGCTGTTGCGCTCGGACATGATCCTTCATAGGCTTCGAAATACTTTCCTCGCTGCTCGATCTTTTTTTTTTTTTTTGCGAAGTTTTTGCTCCCGGTTTAGCTTGGCTCTGAAGTGCACTGGTTTGCTCTAGCCTTCGTGTATCATGACATTCACAGGATGAATATTGCTTGTGGTTTTTGTACCGTCTCCTTGGAGCGAGATGTAAAATCCTATTCTTTTTGAATGAATCCCATTGCAATGACTCATGCGACAGGTACATCGCTACTTCTCGTACAGAGCAGAGGGATTTCAGCTTCATTGATAGACATTATGTCACAATTAAGTGCCGGCTTGGGTCATACTGCATAGTACCATAGTGTGTCTTAATGCTCGAATTGCCAACCGTTGCAGATAAGTCAAGAGTCAGGCGAAAGAGACAGGTGAGAATGAGAGGGGCAATTAGGCAGACCCGGACGATGATGGCAAGTCGGTTACGGGGAGACCTAAAAATGAGAAAAAATGAAATCTATATGACGGTAACACAGTGGGTTGGATGCGCACTTGGTGGCAGACTTTGCCGGAGTCTCTCCACGTTCTTCGCATCCTTAACACAGATCGTGTACAAGTACTGTTTGGTCCGAAGCTTGAACTTTACGATTGTCTTCCCGTGGCTAGAAATCCTCTTTATCCGAATAGCTATTCCATCCAGCCCGAGTGAAGAAGCAGAATGGGAATGAGAATACAGATTAGGAAGAATGCACGGATAGTGAACCACAAGGACTCACATTCGGCGCCAGCAGAGCGAGTCAGCTGAACGAAAGTTTTTGGGCTATGAATCTCCTTGGGCTAAGAAAAATGCGAACGTCCGTACGAATCATTAGCTTTGGAGGGTCTGGAGGCGGCAGGGAATGTTTGTACTCGCCATTTTGACTTAGGTTGAGAGTCGACTGCACAGTTTGCCGGAATTTGCCGGTGACACTGCCACTCGCCTTCATTTATTTTGTATTTTGTATTTTATTTTTATGTTCACTTTTTAACCACCTGCAACGACTCGAGGGGTCAGGTTGTTCTTCCTCGAACTACAGCGTTGTGAATTGCCTCATTGGACCGTCAAACTGGTGCAGCATCTGCGGCTAGCGCCAATTGAATGTAGCCCACAGTTAGGCTCAGTTTATGTAAGCAAACGATGCGCCAATGAACACTTGAACCTCAGTGACTGAGTACATATTGTATTCGCTGCATCATATGAATTATATAGATTCACAGGATAGATGAGATGTATATCCAACGCATGGAGTACGGCTAGGCAGGATCCCCGCCTCGGCCCTCTAAGATTTTCCTAGACGCTAGTACTTAACCTGCCCCAAGTCTTGCCGATCTGATTCAGGATTCCAGTGGGGATCGACGTGGGCCACTTGTGTGTATTGTCAATCGAATAACAAACAAGTGCCATTGCACATAGAAATAGAAATGGCTGTTTGAGGAACAGGGAGGCAGTTCAGGCAAAAATGCCAGCCGGTCGATTCGGCCAATTCCGCTAGTATTAAGTCAGATCGTCGGGAGTCACGTGGCCGTAGACTCTTCAGCACTTCTGCCCGTCATGCAAGGTCCTCCAAACCGCTTAGGATTAGGCTTGAGGCCCCCAATGTCCTCGTATGGGCAGGGCCCGCCCATTGGATCTCTTCCGCCTTCAAATGTTATGTATGGGTATCCCCAACCAGGCGTACCGCCTTCAACAGAAAAACTCACGACTTTGTTCGTTGGAGGTATATCTGCTGGCGTTACGGACGATTTTATGAATTCCTTACTTTCTGTGAGTCGAAAAGGCTTCAATGAATGCTTTGAATGGATGGGGGGATTCAGTGGTGACCTTCTTTAGGCCTGTGGTCCTCTTCAAAGTTTCAAGCGATTGACGAATCCAAATGGCAAGCCTCAAGGTTTTGGCTTTGCGGAATTCGAGGAGCCAGATTCTGTCCAGCGCGCATTGACACTTCTTCATGGGAAGACCATTCCCGCCGTCGAGCCGGGTGCTCCCAATAAGAGTTTGGTGGTGAGTGCACCCAGTTGTCCCTCCCGGAGCTCACTTCATCCTCTTTGTGCTACCACTCGGCCAGGTGAGAGCAGATGATAAAACTAAAGCTTATCTGCAAATGTATGAGTCACAAAGAATTAGAACCGATGTGAGTTCATGATTTTTTCTGTACTCATCGCCTCCGCATTACTTACCTCAACCTTTCAGCAAGACGATGCTGCGGATATGACCGCCGAAACTCTTATCTCCTCCATCATTGACCAGTCGGCTGCTGCTGCAAGAGCCAGTGGCAATGCCGCCCTAAATGAGGCACAAGCTGCCGTTCCACCCCATCTGCGCGACCTGCAAGAATCTGATCTACCCGAAAACCAGCGTGGTCTTGTCATTTCCGAGATAGCCCTCTTCCGAGATAAGGCCATGAAGCGAGACAAAGAAGTCCCAGACACGACCCGAATGGCGTCGCGTGCTGCTGGGGTAGGCGGTTTCTCTCGTGGTGCAGGCCCAATCCCCAGTGGTCCTAAGGAGCGAGTTTGGGGTAAGCCCCAGGGAAAGCCGGCCCCGGAGCCCAGCCAACCGAGTTCGCGCAAAGGCAGTTGGGACAGAGGACCCATTTCGCGTGATCCCCGTCTGCCAACTGGGTTCGTCAAGGGTCATGATGCAATTCCTGCAGAAGATGGTAAATCTGATGAGGAGCTAGAGAGGGAGAGAAAAGCTACGAGAAGACGGGAGGAGGATGAGTCATTTAGAGATGTACGCAATTTCCGTCCCAAAATGGCTAGAATTAACAGTATTATCCCTAGCGTGAGCGACGGTACGAGGCACGTGAAGATCAGCGCCTTGCCAGCTTGGAGCGACTCATAATGCGCACCCAAGCGGCTGCAAAAGCCAAGGAGATCGACAGGGTGGAGATAAGAGAACGGCTGCACGTTTGGGATGACGACGAGAGCGATGAACTGTTCTACACAGACTGGTGAGTCTTCAGTCACGAAATTTCACGAGATCGAATTCGGACTTCCATCCAGTGCTCGATGGCGCTCCCAGAGAACACGCCACTTAGCCATCGAGCGTGCAGCTGATGAACGATCACGGGAGATAGAGGCCCGCCAAGCGGAACATCTCCGAGTCGAATCGGAGGCTTTCCTCGCGCGACAGAATGCTGAGATACAAAGTCTTGCAGAAGAACAACGCAAAGCAGGGATGCTTCTCGACGACAAACCTATCAAATTATCTATTGGCGGCACTGCAACAGGGGCAGGTAATGCCAGTGATGCGAACAAGAGTGGTCTGGCGGCTGGTGCGAAACCTAAAGTCACTGCTCCTGTGTTTGGTGCCGAGGACGAAGATGATGACACAGTGCAGAAAAAGAGGGCGCCATTACAGAAGATCGATTTTGGTGGCGTCGAGGCTTCTGGAAGGCAGGAGCGCTTGGAGACACTCAAAGCGTCTGTCAAGAAGGACAAGGAGTCCGTTTTCAAGGCCAAGATTCGCTGGGACGGTATTACTGATGTATGGAACTCTTTCTGCATTGGTAACTCCTGTTCTGATCCTCACCTTCATTAAGGAATTGATTGAGGGCAAGTTGGAACGTCTGATAAAGCATAAAATGATCGACTATCTTGGCGAGCTGGACGATGATGATCTGGTTATGTTCGTTATAGAGCATCTTAAAGACCACAAGCCAGCCTCTAAACTTGTCGAAGGACTGGAGCCGGTGGGTTGCCAACAAACTGTTCTTGGATGCCGTACTAAGTGCAATTTCCCAGGTGTTGGTGGAGGAAGCCGAGGAATTTGTTCTCGTCATTTGGCGTCAGCTCGTCTTCGAAAGTCTTTCGTACAGCGAAGGAATGGAAACAGACAACATCATGGTGGAATGAACGAAACGTGGCCAATGACGTCGCACCAGTCCGTCTCTTATCACTCACATTTCAGTTTGCTTTGTACATTACTGCCACTCTTTCCTCTACGTTCCGGTCGGTTCCTTGACCATCCCTCCAGCTAGCCCCTAGGCATCCAAGATTCCTGGGCCGCAGTGCCATCTTCATTCGAAATATCTCAGATGACCTCGCATATAGTGAGTACCGCAATATTATTCCATGCTCCGTCAACTACCTGTAGGAAGCACGCGTCCCACTAGGGACAAGGACATGGTGTTTGGCATACTCGTATGCCATCCTAATTAGGGTATTGCGATGCGGGAGGTTTCACCTGTAGTCCATACAACGCATACTATTGGAACAAATGCTCTCGTAGCTCTCTAAACGACAGTATTATTCAATTACATTATTACGCAGCATGAGTTTTGCTGTGGCAATGCGACTGTGGATCAGGATGATTCGAGTGTCGAGGCTCGGAGGACAAACCTGCTTTGCCTTCTTGTAAAAAACCTTGCTGGATGCACTCAATGCATTTGATCGATCGACCAAGTCGTCAAGTTTGGTACCTCTTTCCAGGACGGATTCGATTGTCTTGTGCTGTGCATCCAGGCGCTTAGAGTGGATTGTCCTAAAGTTTCGAGAAAAATACGCACCAGGATAATCTTTGTCTCATCCAATTCTTGCTGAACTCTCAAAATAGAGTCTGCTTGTCTTGGGTCCTGATATTTCTCAAGGTACGCCTGCAGCTGAGGAAAGGAAATGGATGATGGATTAGAGTATGCCGTTTTCGGAATAGTGGTGGCGAATTCATCCAATATTTTCTGGAGCAATGAGAACGCTGGTCTAACAGGGTATTCCTGGTCCGCAATGATGGTTGCTATTTAATAATAGGTCGGTTCTCAACAACTTCAGCGAACGACGCGTTGCTCTCCTCAGAGTCAACAGTGCAGTGGTGGGGAACACATCACTTACCAGCCAACTGCTCGGTACCACCCCTATTGTAAGCATGGAAAGTATACGAGCCCTCCTGAACACTCTGCCGTTGGCCCTGCTGGGTCCGTTCGACGACAGTCTTCGAGAAGAAAGTCATAAACTCTTGCACGCTTCCTTTCTGATAGAATGAGTACGAGGAAAGATCGGAGACTGTTGCCAACGAAACAACATTCCCCTTGGAAGGGCTTCAAATATGGAGATTGAATAAATCTTCATGATGATCTGCGTGAACGCTCAAGCTCAACGTTGGAGGAATTGCGATCGACTAAGTGGGGCAGTGCTATCATCGGCGGAATTTTGCTTCCGGCATGAAATGGTTCGCTCAAAACTACGCAAACATGCGCGCAAGAAACTGGAGCCGTCAACTTTTGATGCAGAGAGACCTGATCGAAAGAATCCCTCACTTGCCATAGATCAGGATGGTTCAGATGATGAAGCTCCAGAAGCCGTCGGAATCTCCGCCGCAAGAGCTGATGCCTTGAACCGGGAACAAGAAGTGCAAAGCTTTCACGTACAGTAAGCTGTCATAGATACCTGCGTATGTACGGAAACAATGATTATGTTCCCTAGAGCTGCAAAAAAAACGTAAGGAGGCCAACAAGGCACGCGCTCAAGCCCTACTGGCTAATGCTCAAAGGCGAAAGGCGGCCACAAACCAACGTAGCAGACCGGACCGTAATGAGGTCGAAGAGGATCCTGACACACTTCGCCTTCGAAGTCGGATGCAACGGGCTATGGAAGAAGCTGACCTGGAAGCAGAGATTTCTGACGACGCCTCAGAGTTCGCCACACCAGCTGATGGACCCCTCAACCTCTCGGAACGCTCAGGACATCCGAATCCAGTTGCTGAGTTCATTGATGCATATGGAGAAGGCGATGAAGATGGCGAAGCGTCTCACATGAAAAATTCTGAAAGTATGGACGACTTGCCAGTTATCCCGCCCACATCATTGGCCCCAAAATCTCTCTCTTCCCACTACCGAATGCCATTAGAACTTCCTGACTCGGTATTCGCTGAGGCCGCTGCAGAAAGGACACGTCTTATTACAGAGAGGGAGAGGGATGAACAACTGGAGCGTAGCCGAGCCGCCGCGGCGGAGTCCAAGATAAAGCGAAGAGCCACTCGGAGTAACAAAGATTTGATCGTAGGGTAAAGTATCTGACCATGATACCCAATTCTCCCTCTTATTTAACCTCCCCATAGTTCTCGAATTGTCAGGACGCTCCCAAACACTTTACTCCTGGATCCGGCTCCGGCAGCGGAGTCTGTCAAGAAACTGCTGGAAACTGCCAATCAGCCAAGGCCAAGGGGCTTTCAACGGAAAGCAGGTGCGCTAATCTGTATTGGTCGCCGGGGGACATGTCTAACTACGCGCTCAACCTTAGCTTATCTCGCGGCGGCAAAACGAAGCACCACTCTTCGCCCCGCATCGAGTTTCTCAATCTTGGATCGGCGATGAGTCCTCCGCACAACTTTCATGGCCTGCTGTGAGACTTTGAGCATGTGCACCTTATTGGGTTCTAGTTCTTATGCTTGAACATGAGTGCTCCGGGCTGGGATCTGAATACAATATGATGACCAGTTGTTGCTCAGTGCAATATTTGGGGCTGCCGGGTTGAGACGCGAGTCTCTAGTGATAATTGACACTTCTGTCCATACCGAACATAAAAGGCTGCGATTGGAAGATCTGCGTAACATTCCTCGGCGGCGGTTTGTTGATGAGGGCAATGTGCTAGGTGCGAAGGTTGCTTCCTGAATGGTTAGTACACTGGCGTGGGAGGGGTTCTTCCACAGGGAATGAGCTGTGATGCATTGAACATAGGCTTCGGGATGAGAACACACCTATGGAATCTCATTGAGGCGCATAAGTTAAGATCAGTGACCATAGTGTTGTCACCTGAGGTCAAAGCGTTGTATCGGTCGATCTATTTCTCTGGACGTCAGCACGAATAACACCCCAGTGTTCCATTGCATGTGGCGGCCAAGTCGAGAGGAATGGACCGCAACGTGCCATGCTAAGTCTGTGCACAGCTAAGAAATGGGCGTATATATCATGTTCCTGACAATTACCATGCAAATCTATGTATCCTAAATACTACCGAGCCGTAATGTGCTACCGACAGAGTCCGATTTCGATTACAATGAGGGTGGACTCAGGTGTATTATTTCTAATCTTCTTTTTGCTCCGCGAGTTCTGCTTTGGCCTTCTCTAATTGCTCCAGTCGCAGCTGTTCCGTCCGCCTTTTTTCTCGCCGCTTCCAACCCTTCAGAACGATTGGTTTCGGTGCGAGATCAGCAAAGAAGGCTTTACAAGCAACTTCGACCACCCAACATCCTGCAAAATCAAGGATCATCGCGGTGGTGAGGCTGAACTTGAACTATACCACATAAGCATTAGTCTCACTCATCGTCAATCAAAAGGACGGGCTCACGGAGTTTTGCATTTCCACGATCTGCAGCCATCTATTCAGCTCAGGAATGAAATCTGTCGCACCTGAGAAAGCGACGGCTGAGGCACCGACAAGGCCCCACCACAGGGCACTGTTCTCCCTGATGCCTTCACGGAAAGGACGACCCTATAGCACCAAACATCAACAGTTAAGAGGTTCGGCGACAACGCTATGCCAGCGCTTACCTGGAAATTAATGGCAAACGTTGAAACTTGTTGCGAGAGGCTGAGGAGGTATATGGCAGTGTTCAGGAGGTTAGGCTCAAACTTGGCATCAAGATCGATGGGTCCTCGACTTTATCAAGAATCAGAGAGACCATGTTTTAGGAGATGCCTGTTCGCTTACACTTCGAATAAATTGGACAGATTGGTGATATAAACCAACGATGCAATATGGATCGCAAATTGAATGAGAACGGAGAGGAGAACATAGAAGTTGAAAATGTTTCCGAGAGGGCGCTCGCGGGAAAGCTGCTCCACAGGCTGAAAATGAGACGTAAATTTCCGTTCCGGCACCAGGGAAATACCAACAGACCTTGGCTCGCGATATGCAAAGGAAACACACAGACATCAAAATCCCCGTTATCGTCACTTGATAATCACCGAACTTGATTCCATCTAGGTACTGAACGCTCAAGCTATACGCGGTGATGAGACAGTTCAAAGCCAAGATCTTATACATCTGGATAGTAGCAACTAATGTGCAGCGGCCTTGGCGAATTATATTTGTAACTGATCCAGTGATGAGCAATGTTGGGTCGAGCGATGGACGATCCATACTCACTAGCCGAAACATTGGACAATTTGGAAGTGAATGGAGCAGCGCAAGAAGCATCCCCCAGTTTAATTTTGGGAGGCTCGTTATCGTCATCTAAATCAGCCATTGTGTTTGTAATGGAAGCCAAATCGAACTTGCAGCACGAGTTGAGCATACAGCCTTGAAAATGCTAATGAAAACTTACTTTCTCCATTGGATTCTTCTTCCTTGCGTCAGCTTGGGCCTCCTTTGCTTTTTGCTGTGCCGCAACAAGCTCGGGATAGAGCGAAGCGATGGCTGGTGGAACAGGGGGAGGTGGCTGGTTGAATCGTTGTGAGATCTTGAGTTGACTCTCGTAAACGGACTTGACGCGCTCATTTCTCTGGTGCTCAGCAATCTTTTGCAAGTCTGCTGGAGTGCCATCAAGCAGTGCTACACCAACATCGGCCTGTTTGAGGGCACCAACGTCATTCGTTCCGTCTCCCGCCATGAGTGTAGTGTAACCAAGATTCTTCAGCGTGGTAAGGATATACTCTTTCTGAGTAGGCGAAACGCGCGCGTAGACCCAGGTATTGTTGACGAGATCGTTAATTCCCGCCCTCCCTTCATACTGCCTGAGAGCTGCACCAGTGACACAGATGTCGTATTCGTTGAACAACGACACGTCTATTGGTTCCGATGGGTCCACAGAAATGATCTTGCTCTCATCAACAGTCCGCCATTGCAAGTCTATAAGAACTAGCTGTATGGCATACCAACTTCAGTCTACAAGTCACTAACCTGTGGGATCAGTTGCACCCTCCCGAACATCGAGTATCAAAGCATCCCGATCGACGATCTCGACTTCTTTGGCAACGTGCACGGCGGTGAGAGGGTTATCACCTGTAATCATGATACACTATTATTAAAGTATGTTAGACCCAGGCCTAAAGTATAGAATAAATCCCGGCATACCCTATGAGACGAATCCGCCAGCATTTTCAGAGACACTACGGCATCCTCCTTGAGCGGGCAGTGGAAGACCAAAAATCCCGCGAACCTGAGCTGGGATTCAACTCGCTCCCTCTGAAGTCGGTGGATCTAAGCAGAGATCATCAGGAAAGACCAGCTAGACGAAGTGGCGCAAATCACTTTATCAGCTCCCATATTTGGTAGTTCCTTCGTTCCGAGAGCGAGCACGCGACTCCCTCTACGAGTGTACCACTTGAAGGTCTCGTCGTAATCCTTGGGAATGCTGGAAAGCATACTCTTTATTGTCTCGGGGGCACCTTTTACAGCAACGAGGACTGCGCCGGTGGGCAAATGCGAAACAGTGGACATGCGCTTCAAAGCAGAGGAAAATTGGAAGCGTCGACGGATTGAAATAGACGTCCGGTGTGGCGCTGTCTTCTCCCTGGCAGTTACCACGTCTAAACGCAACGCATATTCAGTTAATGTAGAGAAGAAACCCAAATGCATACCCCTAGACACGGCCCAGTCGAGTGACTCTAAGGTCGTCTTCTCCATAGGGTCTCCAACGATGGTTCCATCATCCAATTGCACAAGGGCGTGGGCAGCGGCTAAACATAGTGTTGTGTCACGGCTTGCCTCTTTCACATTAACCAGCTTCCTGGGATTAGATGGGCTACATGGCGCAGTTAGTCATTGCACATCAAGGTGAGGCAGATGCAACTTACTCGACCCCTGCCACTCCTTCTAACACGAGATTTTCCGCAGTTATCGTACCAGTTTTGTCAAAACAACAGACATCCACTCTGCCTGCGAATGGAATACGGAACGGCTCGGTACAAAAGATGGCTGTGGAGATGGGACAGTAAAAAACAGTCCCAGATAAAGTGAGTTCAACTTACCAAACTTAGACAATGCCACTAGAGACGCATTGACAGCAAGTGAGAGCTCCATAGGTAGCTCCGGAGGGACAACACTGGTGACAATGAGAATGCAATCAAGGAGCAACTTTGACTTCTTCAAGCCTCGTTCAATTCCTGAGCCAAGCCCAGAATCAGAACTCTTATGCGCGGAGACAGAGACAGTGGCAATGATCAGTAACTGACCTCGGACCCAGACATACCAGCTTGCAGCAATAGCGAAGATGAGCAAGAAGCCAATGAATAAGAAAGACTCTAAATTATTTGCCGACACTCTCTCTGTGGAAAAGATCATCGTTCGAACGAGTTGTCCTTGTGACGTCCCAAAGCCAGTCCTTAACACAACAGCAAAACAGCCTCCGTCTGGTGTCGTGATCTTCCGATCTCCAAGACTCGTGCCACCACTAGCTTGAAGAATTTTAGTTCCAGAGAAAAGAATATTGCCCTTGTGCTGAGAATCAACATCGAGCCTTTCATCTCCTTCTAGGAGCTCAACGGACTCTTTGAGCAGAGGAGTGGATTCTCCGGAAAGCATTGCTTCGTTTACAATCACTGTGCCTTGGATGAGAAGTAGATCGGCTGGGACTGTGGTCTCTTCCTTCACCCCTCGGACTAAGTTAGGTCACATAAACAAATTAAATAACGCCTTTTGACAAGTGAGGACGCACCAATAGAAACGAGATCACCTGGAACAAGCTTGTCTGTTTGGATCTGTTCCCATTTGTCATCCCGCAGAACTTGAATAGAGAATGGCGTGATGGACATTGTACGGAATTCAGTTAATGTTCTTACTCGCTATAGAATTTGATTGAGCAGTTCCCTTATAGCAGGAACACGAAGAAACACGCACTTGCCAAACAACGGTGCATTCAAACACGACGAGCATGAAGGCAGTGAAGAGACTGTAGTACCAGTACTCATCCAAACACCAAAGTGCAACACAGAATAGCTGGAAGACGAAAAAAGGGGCGGTGGCATGTTCACCGAATAACTCCGTGAAGGAAGGAATAGGGATATCGAATTCATTCATCCCATAAAGTTCCCTCAACGAGTCTACGCTTGTGCCCGCCACACCAGAAGGTGAAGCGAAAGATGAAAGAGGAGGCCGAGAGTCGGATGGATAGGGGCGTGCTTCGAAAGAATTTGTGGTTGGGTTGTACACATACGTGTCTCTTTGATAGTTGAACGAGTAAGCCGGTATGAGCGAACCTGAAGACTGGGCATAAAGGAGCATGAGTATGCCATATAAAAGGCCTAGCTTAACACCCTCACCCGCTTCTTCGTTATGTGTACAATCTCTCCTTTACCTCTGTGTTTGAAAGGTACCAGACGGATGAGATCCGCTTCTTCAACGTTCTGTGCCTGCAGTGCATGTCAATGTCAGCGAGAAGTTGCCGTTAAAAGAAATATTGTCCATACACTGCCTGAGGTTATAAGTGCCTTCGCACCAGCACTCCATCTAGTCGCCAGGAAACTGAGCGCATGACCGGCACCGAGGGCCACGCATCCGAGGAACGTCCATTCCTCGCTCTTCACCCAGTCATCATATTTAAAGTAATACGCATATGCCCAAATTGGATATAGTAAAAGGAAAGGAACGGCGTAAGCATGCGCCCACAGTGGCCGGGAAGTGTGAAGCGAGGCTCGCTCGATGTCTTGCGAGGAGACGTGTATCGCCACCCTACGGAGCAGGCATTGAGTTTAATGAAAAATGCGACAAAGAGATGGTGGGCGCACATGGTTGTAAGCCAGAGGAAACTGCAGCAGTCTCTTTTAACGGTGCGTGAGTGCAACTATGTGCAACTGTCAGAGCAGACACGCAACCACAATTGGGATAGAATACAATCTCGGATGCAAACTTGCTAAACTAGCGCCTGGGTGGAAACATCCAAGTCTATGGGAGGAACGAATGACCTGCTATGGTCGCTGGCGCTCTTTTGGGGGGTAACGCACCTTCTCAACCGCCTTGTCATCTCAAAACGATCGAATGCATATTACAATGTGCTTCCTCTCACTTCTCGTGACAGGACATCGGCCCGTCTCCATTTCGTTTCTCCCTCGTTTTCTGGGCACAAATCTATTCTCGCTTGGGCTTTTCACCCTTCTCGCACGACAGCTATCGTGCATGACCTGAGGATAACTATACACACGACTTCCCTGAACTCTTTATCCCTATCACTTTCTGAAAAGCTATCCAATAGCCCAACTGTTCGTGCATTTTATGACGCCGGTTCCTTACTTTGCACCACTGCGTCGTTCTTATGCTTGGTGTGGCTATCGTGGTGCGCTTTTGGTACAATATGCAGTCTTGTTCGCGGAGCAGAAGTTCCCAATATTATACCACCAATGGGTGGGCTTCCCGATTCGCTGTGTATTGATCTCGATGGTCCCTTCAGCTACTTGAGGCTTGTCGTAAGATCTGGGACATATTTCCGGATGTCCCTCCACTCACATCGATTCTGCTTGTAGATACCAGGATTAACTGTTCCCCTATACCATTTTCCAGTTCTAATATCTGCTGGCATCTCTTGTCTCCTAACCCACGAAGCCGGACATGTGATAGCCGCGTCGCTTGATTCCATCCAAATAATCTCAACCGGAATCGGAATCGTAGTTGCCGTTCCGTGGGCTTACGTCTCCTTGCCCCCGTCATCCGTCTCTGCCTTGCCTCCGCGAGCGCGTCTACGGATAGCTACTTCGGGGAGCTGGCATAATTTAGTTGCATTATTGCTACTGTGGCTCGGGGCCTGGAGCGGAATCAGTGAAGCGTTGGGGAAAGTCATAGGGTGGCCATTATGGGAGTACACTGGCGACTCGGCTGCAATTGTGGCGGGAATTGATTCGGTAAGCGTTTGGTGCAAAGCTCTGGAAGTGGAATGCGACAGTTATTGAACAGCGTACTGGATTCAAATCAGGATTCGTCTCTTGTACAACATTTGCCCATTAGTTCGTCGATTGTAGCCCTCGACGATACCTCAATATTTTCCCCAGAATCTTGGCGAAGCTTCTTTTCTGATAAGGCTGGAAGCGCGAGAAATGACAGTGGCTGGTGTGTGATGGACCAGTGGTCAAACGGTCAGTTCGCTCCCGCAACCAACTTTGAATCCCCGCACCAACTCACTATTCCTGACACAGCTCACGCTTCCTCTTGCTGCTGGGATCCAGACTTCAATTCGAAATTATATTCGTCTATCGATATACCTTCCAACAAAAAGCGCCCGCAATTTGCCTGCTTCTTCCAGGGACCGGATATCCCCGGTATTCCAGGAGTCTGCCTTGACCCACTGCTTATTCTCGATCCAGCAACCCCACCTCCACTGCATCGAACTCTGGAGCGATGCAACCCACAACGTGCTGACTCATGTGAGGAAGGATGGTCTTGTGTTCGCCCTAGTCCGAAAGAACAACTCGTGAGGATATCTGTGAGGCCCCCGTCGTGGATCGACCCTCAGACTTTCACGATCGTGTGGAGGGGGCCCAAAGAGGAAGTGCTTGATCAAAGTAAGCGATTTATCATAACCCCATGACCTACCATTATCCCTATTTTTCCTTTCTATCGGGTATGGGAACCGTTCAACGCTTTGTTTCAGAAGCAGTATTCAGAGATTTCAACTGATTGCATCGGTCTCTAGTAGTGATTGGTAAATTTCAACCGCGGCACTGGATTGTCCCACCAAGTATTCCGTTAATTGTAGGCCTCTTCCAAGCGTGAGTTGTCTCCATTCAATGCCTTATGGAATGGAGCCTTCTCCATTTGTCCACGAAGATGATGTTACCATTTTTGTTAAAAACTGCCCTACTATGCATCACTCGCAACTACCTTGCTCACCAGATTATGCTTTCTTCCGTAGGTATGCATTCGCGATATCACTTTCGCTCTTCGTTCTCAACCTCTTGCCCGTTCCAATACTGGATGGTGCACAAATCTGGGAAGCCATTTGGGAATTGGCAGGAAATAAATCCCCCACACATCGTAATCCGATCAACAGAGACCTCCAGGAGGAAGCGCGCGAGACGGACAGGAGCCTCTCCCGTGTTGCAAGTCTACCCCACGGTGGCAGGATAAGACCAACAAGTCGTGGAGGGACCCGGACGGCTTGAACAACACGGCCAGGCAAGGGCTTCTACCTCCTCCGCACGTTAGAAGATGTTTATGGCCACTGGAGTGCGCTGTCTGCACTCCATCACATGATCTTGCAGCCCCTCCATCCCCATGAACAAAATCCGCTGCACAAACGTTGCCAGTTGCTATGAAACCGGAGCTTGTGTCGTGGCCCATTGAACGAAGTCGACTACAGATAAACTGGTGCCGCACCCGAGACCCCAACCTCGCGCCCTGGATTCGGGCAGCCGGAATCAGAAGGCTCGATTCTTTGAAGGATACCTGATACGAAACAGCTGGCCCAACTTTGCCCGAATATTTGTGATTGACACAGGCAGCCCTGGGAAGATTTTTGCCTATCATCTGTATATGCAGCCAAATTATCAACCTTTTGAGCTCGACCAGGAATGTTGAGAGAATGAAATATGGGATGCAGCTGTTTTGCACTGATTATCGACCGAGAATTCGGGCACTCGCTAAAAATCAATTCGTCTAGAGACCAATTATCGTATGCTCGTATCTCTCTGGTTGCTTCCTACTGTCACAGCTGAGCTTATACCTGGATGCACCCGCTTCATTTCCCCACACCCTTTTCGGAAGGATCTTGAACCAGTCGCTCGCACATCCCGTAATGACTTGCTTCAATGCAGCTGCTGCCGTCGAGGGTTGTTACCTGTTACCTCAAATCGAAGGACGGAATACGAGGGAGCTGATGGCATCATTCAAGCATAGCAACACCCAGGTCACACGCACCAGACAGTGTTAGCATGAAACTAGGCAGAAGAGGCTCCCCAGAAGGAAGCAAACTCTAGTGATGCCAACACGAAGCATGATCAGAGTATCACGAGGGTGTTGGCTTCTCTCTTGCCCTCCCTGCCCTGTAGTGCCTTGATCGGTTCAAGCGGTTCACCATTTGCTATCAGTGACACCTTGTAATAGTTCATGCTCGTAACGGATCAGCATCATGATCATGATAAGTGCAGACACCGACGCTAATATATTATCCCCCTGTGCCAACACACGAAAGTCATGCAGATCACACACAAGATGCTTGAAGATTGCCATAAGTTAAGGCAAGCAGCAGAATCATAGCGGGATTGTGGGCGTAGCCATAGAGATCTTTGATGTCAGAAAAGGAGAGTTCTTAACCACGATACCAGAAGTCAAAATGACATAACATTGCTCATCCAGTCAAGAGCAATACCCCACCCAGCGACGTGATAGGGCCCAGAGGACGGAACCTATTATATACGTATTCACAATACGGAACCACAACATGGTTTCCAACAAGGACAAAGGCATCAGTATGGCCAATCGCACACCGGTGAAAATTGCATCTCGATCTGTGGCTCAGCAACGGATACTTCACCTTTTACGATCGAGGGTGAGGAATCATAGGTCCCAGGGAAGAGTATGGTCCCAACCCCAATAGAGGGACCCGCAAACTTGTGAACGCTGAACCAAGGGTGGCGCCAACAATCCTAGTCCACGAATCAAAAATCGCCATGGATGGGTAGGAATAGACCAGTTATAGCGTAATTAGACGCTGTGACCCAGCTGTCGATCTGGGTAGGCGTGATACCCTTCACCAACCTCAAGCCATGAGCTAAAAAAGCACTAGTTGCGGTGCCTAGGAGAATTAGACTAGCATCACTTTTCCACAGCAACGTTGGTGTGATAGTATATCAGGACAATTATCAGTATAGAAGCAAAAGCGGTGATGGACCATGGCTGATGTTGTGGATGAGCGTGACATCGCGGGAACTATGCACCATTACAGGCAAACTGAATCACTGATTGCACACTGCCAAGTTACTCACGCCCTCGGGCCGCCGAACGATTCTGCAGCCTTGTTCACGAGCCTCTTCCGTTATTGGCACTTGCTTGGAGAGCTTCCTATTTAGCTTGGTAGAAGTGTTGGACGCGCTCACCAGGTAACGCTCATGCTATAAGTGCTGGGATAAACTCTCTTCACCCAAGCTTGCAAGATTCGGACCTCGAACACTCTAACCAATACTGTATGATGAACACGGTAAGCCGTATAGAACGTCCTGGACTCGGTATCCATCCACAGTGGGCAGACCTGGACAGCATATTTCAAAACGGCTAGGTCCGTGAACCAGCACGTAAAAAGAAACGCTAAACAACCTGCATCGACACTGCCAAGTGGTTGCTCACTATCATCGAGTCCCAGTGCAAGTTTAAGTAGATTTGCTGAAAGGCAGAAAACGCGGACGTGGATTGCAAGGATGAGTAGAGATATTGTAATCATAGCTAGGCTAGAACCTGGATTGTTGATTCTTGTGTCAGAACAAGTGGGAAGTATGCCGCCAGCATTCTTCACAAGACAAAGCAGTACCGAGAGTGTTCCAAACGATTCGACTACAGGGAACGGCAGCCAGACGGATAACTGGAGGCACTCTGTGTTGTCATTCAGGGCTGGAGGCAGCAGAAATAACTGGTCCAATGAGTTAGCAAGGTATAAACGACAACAAGGGGTGACCGGGAGGCGGAAGTGGCATGCTCAGAAGCATCTAGTGTGATTGAGGGTGAAGTCCAAACAATATCATTAACGCTCTTGTAATCGTGAGCCTCATTGTTCTCAAAACGATCACTAATCTCTAGGCAGGACCCAGCTCACTATTGGAAGATAGAAATGATCTTAGCCTTCCGCTGTAGAATTGAGAAACTGGAGGAGGTTCGCGCGCGCTTCCTCCATGTTATCTTTAGGTGGCCTGAGTTTGATCTGGGTAATGAACATCGGGGTTAACGAGAGCTATTATGATGTGAATGAACGGGCGCACTCTTTTCCCTGTCAGAACACTCCGCCTTTCCTGTGCCTTCGGGGACCTCCGTTCTTTGTCACGCTTCCTGTCTTTTTCCCTGTCCCTGTGATGGTCACTTTTTCTCCTCTTGGCATCTGAGTGTCGGTGATGGCGCTCGTGACTGCGACTGCGACTGCTGCTGCGACTGCTGGTGCCAGTTCTTCCTCTCTTGCGATGGTCAGAACCATGCCGACGGGCGCGTGAACGTTCATCATCCCGACTGCTAGAGGCAGGATGGCGATGGCGATGGCCAGAGGACTCAGTTGATTCTGACTCAGACGATGAACCGGAAAGGGAAGGCGGGCGGTTGGAGCGTGAACGGCGCTGCAGAAGCTTCAGGGAAGCAGTTCGTGAAGCAAGATAAGCCGCACTCACATGATGACGATCAGCAGCCTTTCCACGGCTTTCCCTTTCATGATAAGAGTGGCGACGTGAAGGAGATTGGCCTCGGTCTTTATACCTCAAGCTGCTCTCTTGTTCGTTCTCTTTGGCGGTAGTGCGCGAGCGGCTGTGTGAGCGGCCCGCGCGGAAGGACTGTGATGGCGATGGTGGTAACGCGATCTTTTACTTTCGGGACTTCGGCCGCGTTCGCGTTCGTGAGTGTCACCATGATGAGGACGCTCACGCCTTCGATGATATTCATCACCGTAGTCTAATCCACTCATGTTTGCCATGAATGAGAGGTTTTATTTTTGTCGCAGATGTTCGGATGGTTGAGGAATTTAAGCATGATGATCACCACCGATAATCAGGAGAAAGAATAGTGTGAGTCTAAGGTCGAGCGATGGAGAAACAAACAAGCAGCTCACCGTGTCCCCTAGAAGTGCGGCTATGACTGTCGCGAACCCTATTTCCACCGCCACGCCCGTCGCGGTCGCGATCCATGCGGTACTAGTCAGGTTTCAATTTGGCAAGCAAAGTCCAAGTTGCTTGTTAGCAACACGTGATCCTCTCGTTTCATCCGTCACTGCTTAGGTTAAACTGCAGCACGCTCATCGTCCACCGTCCTCACTGGGCCACCCCCCGAGGATCTCTGCTGCCTTTTCTATGACTTCAGGACGACGCTAGATGTTCTCAGTGAACCCTCTAACGCTCAAAGCGGCTGTCTCCCGTGGCTAAATACTCGCCTTTATGCTATTCTCAGGCTCGAAGGATGTAAAGATGTTACAAGGCGCTGGCGAGCGTCGATGACTCTTCAGAAAAGGGTTCTGTTATGTACAAAGAGAGAGAGAGCGCCACGACACAAAGACGAGAGGAACAATTTCCGGAAAACCGAGTGATACGAGGATGAGCTTAAAATATCGATCAAACAGTCACTGCGGCTGTACCATATTTGATCACTAGGATTCCAGTACGATCAAGGTCGAAATCGCTATTAAGTTTCTTCGCTGCTTTCCTCCCCCCAATTGCATTTCCGATCATGCACTCCAGCGCCGCGTTCAACGTAGAAAATTTGATCTGGTATGCTGGGTCCAAGAGCGTCGAAACGTACTCCAAGACTTCAGCAAGGTCTTTCATCTCTAGTTCGCCAAGGTCCTTCCCATGCCAAGCTAAGAGTGGAGATGAGTCGACCACTGGAATTGCTATTCCAGGCACTCCATTCATGACGTGGAACCACATCTTGCACTGGTCGGGCCTTCGACCTTGGGACCAAAGGCCTCTGAAAGGTGATATTCCGGCGATGCACACAAGCGCACGAGACGTTGAAGGGGTCTTGGGAGGTTGAAATGTGGGCGACGAATTTACAAAAGAGATGAGGCGTCCGAATATGGATTTGAAAAAGCCGACGAGTTGAAAGGCTAGGATCTGGTCAGCAGCGATGATTGGCCCGCGGAGTTGAACGAAGGAAATCTGGCGAGAAGAAACGTGAGATGTGTTCTCTCCGAAGGGGGTGCAGTGAACTATACCTCATTGATTCGTGACACCAAAGGTTGACGATGAGTGGAATACACGTAAGGGCAAAACCAACCCGGACCCGTGGAAACAATGCCCTTAGCCAGGTCAATTTGCGGAAAGATGGCATACGAACAGGCTCCAGCTTCGCATGTTCTTCAAACAACTTGTGACACACGCCGAGTTGGAACTTATGAACTGCCGTCGTCTCGAGTCCCCGGAAACCATCGGTGCTAGGGTTGGCAACATGCCATTCAACAGGTGCATTCTGACGGGCTTTTCCATGTGCCTCGCTGGCGCGAGCCACGAGTGTACCCAGACCAATATTCACAATCATGTGTGCTCCGTGAGTTGCCAGAAAGCCATCTGGATCCACATGTGCAACGCCCCGATTATCCCATTGATTACCCCATCGACTGGGAGCACATCTGAGATACCATCGACAAGACCAAGCGTTAGGATGTCCCGCCCTCTAACGTTCACCGGTTCAATGGGATTATTGTCCCTTTCCAACCCAAAAAAATATCGTCAGGCGGCGAAAGACGGCGAAGCACAGGACTTAACACACCCCAATGGGAGAAATTCATCGGAAGTTGTACGGTAGCCACCGTTCCTCGGACTGTGGCAATTACGGCTTTGACGGGAAGCTTGTTGCCTGCGAGGCGTTTGAGGGCGTTCGATTTCTGCTCTGACATCCTGGGGGAGGGATGATTGATGCCTATGGTTGCCCACCCGATTAAGTACCAGGAAATCACAGCCTGACAAGATATACACATGGGTACGTTCATGTGTAACCCCGTTCGAATGATTACATGTTTGGGATGAAAGTTTCTTGCAACGTTCTTCCGACACAACCAGACCTGAAATGTTAAAATCCTATTATAAAACATAGGTATAAAACTCTACGGTACAAAGATAGTTTCTCGATACTCTTTGATCGTATCGCTAGTTCTGACACGTGCGCCAAGTAATTGCATTGACAAATTGATCCCGACGAAGCAAACGCCAAAACCGTTTAAGTAGTCTTGGTACGTATCCACGATGAGATTTTGATACCACCCTCATTTTTGCCACGTGCAACAGTATCCAATACTCTAATTTTTCCCAGATGCCCACACTCATTTTTTTGAACTCATCATGTAGGGATTCCGTGCAAGTCCAATTCGCTACCTCAGTGGCTACACTCGCGAGATCAGATGTAAGCTTAGGGCAAAAACTGATGATTCCTGTGAGCGTCCGTCTGTGCGTATTTATGTACAAAGTGAAATGCATTGTGGAGTGGTCCCATGTGGGTGACTCCTGTGCGACTACGCGATCAGTGATTCCCTCCACATAAATCTTCCACATAAACACCAGCTATGTGTATATATGCCCGGCTTCGGTGATTCGTCATTACAACATATCTATCTGAACTATTTTGGTACAATGCTTTGGTTTACAAGCGCTGAAAGGAAAGTTTACCATTGAGGCATCAAAAATTGGCGTCTCAAACTGTAATAACTCTTGATTTGTACGTACGCTGTAGACTGCTCATTGAGTCCTATGGATTATACGGACATTTCCCTACAGGATTCCCGATGCTTCCGTTTTGAAGTCCATGTTGATGGACGCAGTCGAGGATGGCTTACATAAAAGCTACTTCAATTTTCTTTCCTCTCTCCTCAGTTCACATACTTGGACTGAGCTAGGTGAGATCCGCTTTATTTCTTGGAACGTAGTCTTCACATTTTATATATGTACTTGTATAGGCCGCCAGGTAATTATGAATCATACTAAGTTCACATACTTGCGTGGAACCGAGCACTAGTTATACACCACCGCTTGCTAGTTCATAATTCTAATAGTAACCATCAACTAACGATCGCAACCCTGTGGTGGCTTAGGGACTGGGACTTCCCCTGATGTGATTACACGTATTGTCCTAGGCAGGTGACGTCACCAGCCTAGTATTGTCCACGGGAGAGTTCCCAACGGACAAGCGCCCAACACTGAATGGAAAGGATCTTCATAAGATCATGATCGAATGATGGGTGTTCGTGCATTGCGATGAATACTTGCTCTCATATCACCCCAGTTTACAGCCGCCGTAACAAAAAAAAAAACAGCGCATCCCCGGTTTGAGTGGATATATCGCGCGGGCAACAACTGATCCGATTGATGATTTAGGTAAAAAATTGAGCGCCCACCGTATCCCAGTGGCACCGACAAAAATATTGGAGATCAGGCCCTTAACCACATGCCCATCACAATGGGCAAACACCGCAAACCTGCGGCAGGGACCTTATCGTTACAATGTCTAACTCGATGAGCACACAGATATCTCGACAGCAACACAAGTGCCTGTACACACCATCCAGGATGTTCTCCATAACCCACAAAGGCACCACCGTGAGAGACGCGTGACCGACCACACTCTCTCAGTAATGCACTGCTGAAGTTCCTAGATAGTCGATTGGTATGAAACCAGACCTCCTAGTCTCTGAGCTACAAGAAGCTGTCGATGAAGAGTTCCATCTTCAGACCAGTGAAAGCACAATTCTCTGTGAAATGGAGCACCGTGGCCCGTATGATACGTGCGCTGTTGAATGGTACACGTGAAGTAGGATAGATCGAGGCTTCTGCAATAGCTGCGAGCTTGAAGACCCCGGCACACGGAGCGCTAAAACGTCTGAGATAATATACTGTGACTTATCTCAAATTTGACCCTACGAGACCCACCTGGCTGTTTATTTTTGACGGAGGCCGTGAGGTTGAAGCCGGGCAAAGATATGACAGAAAAGACTGAGCCCTCCATTCGAGATCAGCAGCGCTCCCTATAAAGGGAAGCCCTTGGGAGGCGGCGAATAAGATATGCGTGCAAGCCCCTCACTCAGCATGCTTCTAAACCAAGAAATAACGTAGTCATAAGGCGGGGGCCTCGTGGCGCAACTAATAGTGAAGCAAAATCGATCCGCAGACTCGGGCCATCAGGAAAACAACGCCTTCAACCTAGCAAAGAGTAGCCGCACAAGCCTGATTCGTAGTAATGGGCAATGGGGAGGAACCGAGTGAGGAAAATACAGAAAAGGCCAACCCTTCCTAGTCAGGTTGAAAGCTAGGTTCGAAGTAAGTAAGCCTTCATAGCCATGAACAGAGTCCCTCAAAGGGAATCGAAGGGTTAACACCAAGGAAGCCGGAACTCTGGTGAGAACAGTGTCCGAGATAACGCTAAGTAGCAAAGTTTGTTGTTTTCTCCTGTTTGGTTTTTCGGCTCTTTCCTGTCTTCTCATCACTTTCCTCTCGTGTGTTGCTATTTTTTGCGCTTACCCGCCACCATCCCCTGTCTCCACCTCAGTATATTTCGCCCGGATCGCTTGCAAATCCATAGGCTTCGGTTGTCGGGACCGTGGCTGGTCGCACACACTCCATCTGCACCAAACTCCGTCATACACCTCCAATCTTTATCACCGTTTTAAAAAAAAAAAAATCGTTCACTCATGACCGCCCTGTAAAATAGAAAAGGGAGCAAGGAAAGCATATGAGCCTGAGGATGGTGATAAAAGCGGGGGCACGGTACCAGAGCCTTCGGGAACTGCCGTTTTGCAGATAATCAGCACGATAGCGTTGTACTTTGAGCCCTCCCAAGACCAAGGCTATCACGAAGTTTCCCTTGCGTATCCCTACCTCTGCTGCGATGGTTATTCGCACTGGCCCCAGTGCGGTTGCGCTAAACGGTGACATCTACTATCATATTATAGAGCAGCTCGCCGCCATTCAATTCTCTTCTGTCTGTTAGTCTTGTCAGCCGTGCCTTTTATAAGTTCACTACCGTTATCCGGTTTCGGGTCATTCAAATAGGTGGCTCCCAATGGGGCCCAGGGGGTGCGCCGGAGTTTGAACTCCACCTCCTCAAGCGATTAGAAGACAATCCATCACTCCTCTCATACGTCCGCAAAGTAATCATCGATCCTGCATACGTGATTGATGAGGACGGTGAGGAGGTGGAGAGGCGAATTCTAGAAAAGACCCTGCATCTGCTTCCCCGCATGATATATCTGACGGACCTTTGGTTCGTTGTGTTATCTTCTTGTCACTCCTTTTCCAATGCCAAAAACAATTAGCTTTCATATTGTACCTGACATTGAGCGCAACAACACACTTGAAGAAGGACAAATCCTCTCATCCCTTCGGAGACTTTCTATCGACAGTGTTCACACCGATGAATCGTGGCGTCATGGTATCCCATGGGATAGCCTTAAAGAATTACAGTTCACATACTTTTCTGATATCCTCCTTGACGTGGTTGATCAAATGTACTCCCTTCGTTCCATCAAGCTGACGGGTCAAGTTCCCCTTGGCAAATCATGAGTGAAGACCATTTGGGAGTCAAACGCCGCATTGCTGAGTTCCTTCGCGAGGTCCCTTCTGCCCTGGAAGAGCTCGACCTTGAGGAACTTACTGGAGATATCCCTGTCTCTATCTTTGCCCGGTTTGGCCGCTCGCTCAAAAGGCTCAGGCTCTCTACATACCAGAGGATATGGCAGAGGTGAGGGAGGGATGAACTGGAGGTGAACCGGAATGGTGGTGGAGTAGATTGGAGGTTGGGTGGAGTTGGTATGGATATGACAAGAACCAGGGAACAGCTTGGTGGTGGTCTTGTTAGAACCTCCCAACTGACCTTCCTTAGTTCTCTCCTTCAGCAGGTTGTTGTGTCCCCAAGCCACTTGGCTCAGGTGTAGAGTACTGTAAGTTTACTGTTCCTCCTGTGGGGAAGGATGGTTGCTGGCTTGTCTGTCCAGCATGGAGACTTGCATCTCTCTCCCAATATTTGGAAGCTTTTGCTACCTGCCCCACAGCTTTTGCAGTGATTCCTCAGGAGTCCTGAGTGGTTTGAACTGGGACTTCACAGAGGCAGCTTTGCCTAGTCTTTCCCAGGAGATGTTTCCCCTGTTCTCAGGGGAATTGTAATCCTCATGCGTTTTGCGATACTTGGGAGTTCCAAGAAATATCTTCACTTTTTTGCAAAGGTCTTTATGTACCTTGCCACTTTTAAAGGCAGCTTTGGCCTGTTTGTACCAGTGTATGAATGCTTTTCCATTCACACTTGTCCACCAAGTGTATGCAGCAATGTGCACCACTTCTGACCCTGCTGTTCTCCTCATGGGAAGTTGGGTCAATTATTATGTCAATGGGAGCGTCTCAGGGCACACCCTGACTAGCCTGGACCCGGGCCCACGTCCGGACCCGCTACACTTCCTGTGTGTGCACTTCCTGTGCTGCATGCTCTGCATGCCACATGATCCGGCCCCAGATCCTACTTCCAGGTATCCCCGGAAGTTTTTGCCATATTGGGGCCACTGTGGGAAAGTGAGAAGTTCACCTTCTTCTCACTTTCTTACCCACAGCAGAGTTGTGCCCCAGACAGGGCTGTTCACAGGCTAGGCTGTGGGCCATAGAGAAGGGTCATGGGGACCCAGGGTTTGTCCCCTGACAGAGCATTGACTTTGCTGAACTCATTGAGTTCAGC